TCTCCGGAATAGGAATCCCGTCGCCCGCTTCAGAAAGGCATTATATATATATATATATATATATATAATCAAGTAAGAAAAAAATATTTAATAAATGAAATTTAAGAAAGAGCTTAAACGGAATTTGGCTTTGCATTTCTATTAGTTTTTATTCTTATAGAACATAATTTTAATTTATATTTTTTAATTATTCATTTTCTTAAAGTGATATTTCTTAAAATTGCTTTTATTTATTTATATATTTTTATTTGTTATTATAGCTTTAATATTTTTATGTTCAGTGAATTGATTTTTTCTAAATAGCTATGACATATTTATAACAATTTAGAAAAAAAAAGAATAACTTTTAATTTATTTATAAGAAATATATTGATTGAGTATTAGTTATGTTAGTTAGATAATTAAAATTAATTTTTAAGTAATTAAAATTATATTTAAGAACAAAAAAATTTGTATAATGTTAGGTTTTTTAAATATTTAAATGCAAAAATATAAAAAAGTCTTTTTCTTAATTTCTTATGAAGTAAATTATTTTTTAATAAAATTGAATAAATGCCAATAAGGGTTTGTTTGTGGCAGCTGAAGTTTATTAATAAGTTGTTCATCAGCAACTGATCCAGATAAACTCGTTGGTTATTTGATTTGTGTTGTTGAAAAATAACTGTTTTTGCAGATGTTTCTGGATAAATGATCATTATGCCCCTGTATAGTCATTTTGTTTGCAACAAAACTAGCGTAATATCATATCTGATACTTGAGAATTAAAAAATCACTTCAGTACGGTAAGTATTAAGTGTACTAAAAAAAGTTTACTACCTAAAACAAATTGGAGAGATAAAGAACGGAAAACTACGTCTTTAGGGGTTTGGTTATTACCTTCAATTTCTCAATCCACCAATCCTTTGAAGCATCAATAATCTATTTGATTGGATCCTAATCCTAGCTTGTGGATCCTGATTTTAGTTCCCTCCATAACTTCTAATGATTTTTCAATCAATCTCACATGTTCTTAAATTGTAACATACTGTAATCCTTTCATGTCATTTCCTTGAATTTCTTCATAATATTTTGTCACCCTTCTTTATTAAAGTAGGTAGTGGGTCTATTTTCAAGCTCGACATTCTTAAGACAGGTTGCAAAATATGATTTTGACTTTCTTATCCCACATGGTTGATAAAACGACTTCTTTGGCCTTAACAATTACATTGTTAAACAAAGAAATCGATCAAGAAAGAAACTGATAAAACCAGTAAAACAAAAAACAGGATAAGAAAGAAGGTCCCAAGAAAATCAAACCCCAAAACTAACAAAAAAATAAAAACCAAAACAAGAAAACACAAGAGAGAAATAAAATTGAAAAGAATAACTAATACAAAACAAAAGAAATACTCAAATAAAACAACCAAGCCCCACAACACACAACCACTCACACACATACAACCTCTACCTCCACCATCACCTCCACCACCAACACACACCCACAATCACACACCAATAGCCACCACCTTCACCACCAGCACACACGACAACCGTTACCTTTTATTCAATTCGTGTTATCACCATTTTTGCAATTTTTCTGTTTATTTCTCTGGAATCCTTAATAATTTTTAAATTCTTAACTGTACTATATATTTATATTTATGTATTCATATACATCTACACACACATTTATATAAAAGCATATGGGAGAATGTGCTCCTCACTTGGCTTATGAACGTTTTAAGTAGTAAGATTTTGGTATGGATGGCTTCAGTTGCAAGGATGACTGCAAATCTTATTAGAAAGAAGGATGAAATGTTCCAAATTGGAGGGGTATGAATGTTTGAAGCTCCTTAATACCCAAACATTTGTTGATTTACAAAAGCTGACTACTATACATACATATATACATCTACCTTTTAATCAAACCAAGAAATCCTTTCCAAGTTTAAACACCAACATTTGCACCGACTAAAAGCAGCAGCTCACAAGTCATTGCTCGTAAATAGCAAATTCAACAATTATAGAAAGATAATTGATTGAACAATCCATCCAAGGCTATATCAATATAATGATAGAACAAACCATTGTTGTCAACTGAATAACAATAAAGCCATAACAAAAATAACAAAAAGCAATCCAATACTCGGAACAGTCCAACACCTGAAATCTCTGCAGATGAATCAAACAAAGAAAAATAAAAAAGTAGGAAATTTAGATTTTAGACAATTATAGCCGAGGCTCCTGAAACATTACGGATCAAATATATCAATGCGTCTTGTTTCATTTATTCTTCAAACCAACTCAACTGTGATAAACATCAAGCCAACCTCAAAATCCCATGGATATAGAATACATTGTTGAAAAGATCAACTATAGTCACGGAAAACAATAAAAATATCTAATTTCCATAAATATCTTTTAAACAGAGCACTCGAGAAAGCCACAAATCCAGAAAGCCCCAAATCGCGGAAAGCCCCTAATCACAAACTGTAGAAAACCAAATCTATAAAAAAGAAGTCCTCAAGAATTTGCATACAAAAATCTCTAACCAACAAATTGGAAATAAGATAGCCGAATATCACACAATACTTACGGGGCACAATAAAGAATGATAGAAGGGAGGCAGAAGAGTAGCATGACGATGTCGAGAGAGATGGGTAAGAGGGAGAGAATCGCATGTGAGAGAGATGGTCGAGAGAGACCGGCGAGAGGGAGAGGAGGGATATTTAGGGTTAGGGCAAACAATATGCGAAGAAGCGTACTTACGGGGCACAATAAAGAATGATAGAAGGGAGGATGAAGAGTAGCACGACAATGTCGAGCGAGACAGGTAAGAGGGAGAGAATCGCACGTGAGAGAGATGGTCGAGAGAGGCCGGCGAGAGGGAGAGGAGGGATATTTGGGGTTAGGGCAAACAATATGCGAAGAAGCGCGAGGGCAATGGTGTCAAAACAAGCAAATGGAACGCGGGCTGCGGGGTTCGACTCACGACCGCATATTACATAAAAAAACGCATTTTTCAAATGATCGAAATGGTGTTTTCAAAACACACCGAAGCTGATAAGCTGCCCCAAACGGGTACTATATAAGCAACAAAAGAAAATTAAATAATAATAACAATCATACTACTTTATAGTCAAAAGGTGAAAGGATGTCTCTATCATGCTCCCTTCAAGTCGTCGCACCATAAATTACTAAATTCTATTGTTGGTGACATCATCCATAACTTGCTCTTACATTGGCGGACCTGAAATACTTGTTTATTCAAGTCGGCCAAAAAGGATTAGTTGATAAACAATTTATATAAAAAAAACTTGCTTTGTTTGAATTGCATACAAAATAAGCCATAATTTTTAATTATACTCAACAAACCGAACACATGGCACTCATTTTTCTGGAATATGTTATTGCACAGTAAAAGAGAAACTCAGTTATAAATATATATTATGAGAACTCATAGTGTTGTACTCTACAGATTTAGATTGATTTGTCTTAACATGCAATTTGAATTTTATAACTCAGTTGACTGTATATTGAATGAGTTGTATCAGATTTCATCTGCCGAATAAGAAATGTCATCAGAATTCGGTTCTGTCGAGAGAACTCAGACAAAACTCAACAAAGTAAAAAGGACTGTTAAAAGAGTTTCGTCGTTTATAAATTATTTGTGTTTGGCTTTTTAAATAACTCGATTAAATAAGTCAAACACAAATAAATATTTGTTCGGTTATGTTCGAATTGTTTTGAAATGAGTTGTATCTGATTTCTTAAAAAGCTGAAGCGAAAAGCTGAGTTTTGCCCAAGAACTTGGCTAAATACGGTGGCTGCTATAAGGTTGTGGTCCAACTTTAAAAAAAAAATTGTTATGATAATCACCGTAGTGTTTTGAAGAGCAGTTTATCTTGCAACAACTTTACAATCAGCTCTTCAAGCAGTTGCAACTGTCCCAAACAAACCCTTATTAGTAATTGTGACCGACTAAAATTTGATGTGATAAAAGCTCTATAAAAGCAAAAAAAAAAAGTAAGCAGCCCTCATTGCAAGAAAAAAAAAACATAAATCATGCGAAATAAGGGGTGAATCATCAAAATTATGAACTAGGTTTGATAAAATAATTATTTTTAATTTAATAATAAAAATATAATTAATAATATATTTTAGTCTTATGAGATGAGAAAATTAAATTCTAGCTGAGCCGAACACAAGCTTAATTCAACTAAATAAATCTGAATCAAGTTAAACATAAATATGCAATACACAAGTTATTCCAAACACGAGCCATTTAAATTTTAGAGACCATTTTTTTAGATTGATTTTAACTTAACCTATACCCATGGACAAAATGACCACAACCCGCTTTGAAAAATATCATTTTTGGATTATGATTTTATCATCAAAATTGGAATATATGCCGATTAATGCTAAAAATTACCATCTTTTCTTATAAATCAACAATAAATTTGTAGAGAGAAAAAAAAGTGCTCCCACTACCTTTCTCTTCTTAGAAAATATTGTATCACATAAATCGAATGAGGGGTCGATGATGTAGATCGCACCACGCAGCCAGACACAACGTGATGTGATCCACACCTTCATCCGCATGTGCAAATGACTGACGTAATAGTTTCTTCTCCTTAGGGGAAGTCATTTTTATAGTACACGATGATGCAAAGTAAATAATCATACATTAAAATTTAAGTGCTGATAATATACTCCTAGAATACAAACTTTTGTTGGTCGTATTGTCTTATGTTAATTGGGCCAAGCCATTATTTATGACTCTAATTGATATTAATATGCAATCCTTTGAAATCCGCAATAAAAAAAGAAGATTTACATAAATAACGCACAATTTTTAGATATTTGCACAATTTTTAGATATTTGCATAACACTTAAGACTTCAATGTTTACAGGCGCGCCGCATTAAGTATGCATAAAAAAGTGCTTTTAACTTTTAATAAGTTAATATAACAATGTTTTTGATTGAATTTGAGATCGTTCGTGAATTACATCGAAGAAATAGAGCGTAACTAAGAAAAGACAATATGTAGAGATAGATTGAACAATAAATGTGATCCTGATTAGATGATTCTTCTATTTATAAAAGGGTTTTGTACAACCATATTATTACATTTTTACCCTTATCCAAAGAGTACTGTACCGGTGTATTTATGATATTTTATATGTATTGGCTTATGTTCTAGCTGCTTTATGGGTCAACCGACTAAGCTCAGTTGAATTTGGGTCGATGGGGTTAGCTCGATCGGCTGAGTTTGGTTGGTGTGGTTTGGTCGGTTAATCCAACCTGGTTGACTATCTTTTATCCCAGATGGGGAGCTTGGATACTTCGTCAAATTGGATTTTCCTTTGTATTGGCCCTATTGGGTTATCGCTTCAAGTCGACTTTACGATAACAATTCGCTAAATCTGGCATAAAAGTCAAGGAATCTCATTTTAAGACTTCTTAATTCACGCCCTTCAAAAGGTGCAAAAGATGTTACTTCGTCAGCAAAATGATGTTACTTCGTCAGCAAAATGATGTTGATCATTGAGAAACAAAGTAAAGGCTTTGTGTCCCGAACTTTGAGACTGCACCCTATAAAGATGGGTGATAGAATGAGAATCTTGTGTATTGTATTAGAATGAGAAGCTAATGTATTATGCTTATTAAACATCAAAAAATAGTAGAGTTCCATCAATGAGACTTCATTTCCCTCAGACTGTCAAACTATTACATGTTCAAAGATTCACGACGTTAGACTGATATTTTAATGTTTTAGTATTGCACGAAGATCCAACATATACACAAATAAATGAAAGTGAGCAGGAGGAGCATTGTGATTCTTTACATAGAAAAACTCAAAAAGTAAAAATATCATGAGGCATAGCCCTGTCAAATTAATCTACTATTATAAAGTACATCCTTTTCTCTCAAAGTGGAGAGCAAGGTTATTATTTTATATAATTTTTTTTTTTAATTTTTTATCACTTAATGAGTCTTAAAATTTGTCAAACTCAATCATATCATGGTCCACTTACCAATGCATTTGAAAACAAATATTTATTTTAAAACTAAAATGTTAGAAATTGAAAAAAAAAAAAAACTTAAAGGAAACATGCACACACAAATGTTTGCTTATCAAAAAAATTAAATCAAAGTGATTTTAATTATAGATAAAATTATGGATGATACACCATCAACAAATTTTCATAATCACGTCAAGGTGTGATACAAATTTCAAAGTAATTTTTTATACAATGAATGTTTAGACTCTAGTTAAAAATGATTTGGAACTCCAATTTCAACAAACTTATATTCAAACTGGCCGATTAGACGAAATAGACTCAATGATAGAAAAATTGGTATAATCCAAGTCAAATTAAGCAGATAAACCACCTTTGAATGCTTTCGGTGCTTAATTGGAATATCAAATAAATTTCAAATTTGTCAAATTTATAGTCAAATTGAGCGTTTCGACAAGATGAATCTAATTAGCTCAAGATCACTCAATTTTAACAGCATTAAGATATTAAACGTTCACATAATATTGTACGAGTGAATGAACCTTTTTGGGCCGTCCGATGAAGTGGTTATGGTTACTTATTTATTTGCAAGGAGATATCTCTCATACGTTATAAATATAACCTTACCTCCCTTCGTAAAAAAGTACCCGAGGGGGCTAGACCTTGAACCAAAGGATTAACCGAATTGGATAAATTTGGATGCCGGATATATAATATTATTATTAATTTTGAGTGCTATGTATCCATACCCCACTTTTTTTTTTAGTTAAGGCATACATTTTAATAAAAAATAGAGATATATTGTTGAAATTATAATTCTATAATAAATTTAAACATAATGCATATTTTTGGACTATAATTTTTGAAAACTAACGTACATTTTCCCAGCAAAGATTGTAAATTATAGTCCGGACTCGGTCAGATATTCGATTAATAAAACCACACCAGCACGTTTCAATACACGTATGGCTATTTCTTTCACTCAGAGCAGCAAAACCCTCAGAAAATCTCCCGCGCTTCTCTCCGGACAGCTTCGATCGATCCGGCGTCAAGCCGGCTTTACCTGCTCGATGGCAAACACGGTTAGGGTTGGCGCAGTTCAGATGACATCTACCGATGATCTCGACGCTAATTACGCCACCTGTTCTCGACTTGTCAAGGTGGAACGTCGTACGTGAAACTATTATTTAACTTTCTTGCCTTCTAGGGTTTCTCTTCGTTTGTGGAGCTTCATCGATTATCTTATTTGGCTGTTGGGTTGATAAGAGTTATAATAAGCATCCTGACAAAGTTTCCTTGTAGGCAAAGGACTGTTTGTTTCTCATGAAGGGTTGATTTTATAATGCATCTAGCTACCTACTTGAATCATAGCTTGGTTTGTGAACAATTTAAGAACTTCTATCCGCTGGTTATTAGGAAATGACATAGGATGCTGCCGCTTGACCCGTTCTTGACATATTCTCTGCAAAAGGATGCTTAATTTATCGAATTGATGTTGTTTATTAAGTCATAGAATTCCTTGAAACGGCTGCCGTGTTCCTTACTTATCAATGAAACAGCACAGAGATTATCTGGAAAGAAGAGTTCGAACATGTTTACCAGTTTGACAGAAGGTGGAAGGAAAGCCAGAAGAATGAGGATATAGGTACTGGCTCAGAAATAGTAGTCTGTAATGCTTGTTTCAAAACTTGTTTAAACATATGGAGAAGTCTTGCATGTCTGCGTATTTGAAGAAGCTTTATGACTTAACTTGATTTTTTTACAACAACCAATTAAATTACAAAATGAAGTAGGTTTTGTTTAGGTAATCAATATAATGTCCTCCCAAAACTGATATCATGAATAACTCACAAAAAATTTGTTGTTGCAATTGGTTCGTTGAATCTTTAATTTCATCATATGGGGTCACCTAACTCTGCTTGGGGTTTAACTTTGGATTTTGAAAGTATTGGTTTCTGGGAGCTATATTGAAGAACGACTTAACAGGTTGGCCCTTTTTGAGTATGAAATTGATGAGTTGGCACTAGAGTTATAGGTCCCGGTTTAAATAGAAATAGTTTAACCTTTTGGTATGCACTTATTAGAACCAAATTTTAAAAAAGCATTCGAGGTGTGCCCCTCAAATCTAGGCACAGGAGGAGCGTCATGAGGCTTAAGCCTCACTGATACGGGAGAGGCTTATGCCTTTTTGCAATGAGGCATACACCTGGAGGTGCAATTCATCTAGATGTTTGAGACAACTTTTCTTTTTCCCTAATTATACTAAATCATATATATTTATATTATTAATAAATTTAATGTGCAACACACAACAATCATCGTGTGAGTTAAGGTTTGATCTCTATTGAATCTCGTCCCAAGCCATTTGGGCGTCACAACTTCCACTTCGCCACTTCATGTCTCTATAAAGCATCGTCCCGAGCCCGTTCTCGCACCATTGTTTCGACTTCATCCGTCTATCAAGTGTGAACTCCCTTCTCGAGCCTGTCTTTCAAAGTCTCACAACATCAATCCGCCGGGGTGCCTCTTTTGAGCGTCCTTTTTTTCCTCATGGTCGGTACGAGTATTTCTCTTCTTTAAGGCTTTCTCTTTTTCACTCGTGACCTTCCTATGAGGTTTAATGCTGAAATATAATCTTGTTTTTTATAGTGTAAGTAATAATATCTTAATGTTTTGTTTGTATAATTTTTTTCTTGATTAATTTGTTAAAAGCATGCTTGCATCAATGTTCATATGAAAATGAGTTTGTGTTCTCTTATGTTATGATTATTTGTATATATTTATGGTTTAGGAGTAATTTTTATTCACCGTTTGTAGTTTTTGTTAGAGTTTTAGTAAATTGTAGATTAATTTTATTTTATTTCTATAAGAATATTTCTCAAATTTATCCAATTAATTAGTTGAGAATGATCACTTTATGGTTTGCTTAAACGTGCACCACATTACTGAAGTTCTTAGATGACCTGAAATATATTTGTTGTGTGAATTCAAGCACTTAAAGTTTAGTAGCAAGTAGCGACTAGTGAGCACTTGCTTTCCTAAATACTAAAGTTTGCTTGATAGCTAGTTTTTGTTTTAATAAGTTTTTAAAGAAGTTGGAAGTTGTAATACTGTTTTAGATTCATGTTAAATTTATTTGATAAATTATAATGCTAATTTGATACAATGTGAGGCGTATAAGATAGTTCTCACTCATTAATAATATTATTTATTAATTTTATTTTTTCTCTTAGCTTTTTATTTTTCTTAATAGTGTTAATCAAAGAGTCTTGTTGTATTCTTTTTATGATTTTGTTTAAAGCTTAGTGCATGTGCTAGATTTAACAATACTAATTAGGTATGTCATGAGCTATGAGGCATGGGTCTAGTTACAGGAGTTTCACATGTTTCATTTACAATTATTTTATTTGTCATTTTTTCATATATGTGAACTTTTTTATTCATCACTATTATACTATGAAGTTTATTATCTTTTTATTAAATTATATTATTATTATTAAAATTTTAATTAGAATTGGTGGTGGTGCAATAAGAAAAAATATACTATGAAAATTTGACACTAAAGTCAAAGTACCAGGAGAAGGTGCAAATAAGGGATATGTTTAATTGAAATATGAATATCGTGACAAATAAATTATTAGTGGTGCTAAAAGATTTAAAGATCACTTGGCTGATACACACGTAAATACTATAGCACACGAAAAATTATCATATGAAATCAAGAAGGAATGTGTTAAATATTTAAAAAATACACCACCTCAAAAAAATATGAAAGATATGATTGAGAATAGTTCTTATTTTGGATATGAATGTGATGATTCCAACAGTGGAAATTATTTGCTTTCTTCTAACAGAGGAACTCAAAGATAAGTTGATAGATTTATTATGAATGTAGATGAAAATGAAAATATCAACTTTCAATCTTATGCTCCTTCAGTTTCTATAAAAGAGCACAAAAATTGAGTACGTTTAGATATTACAAGATGTTCTTATGAAAGTGAAATTCTATTTAATGTGATGAGAAGTCATTTATGGATCACTATGTTTTGTTGCGTAGGGAATTATTGGCGAGGATTAGATATTCCTAGTATATATAAGTTGTGAACTTGCATATTAGATTAAAAAGTTCTTATTTTTATATATTCAACTTTCACAATCGAGCGTAATTGGAGCATATTTAACCAATTGCATACAAAAAGAAGGAATCAGTCGACAGTAGGTCGATGAACAATTTAGTTTATGTTTTTTTTTTAAAAAAATTAAAAGGTAGACATTTTAAGGTACCAAAAAAAGGTGGTGATGGAATATATTATTTTTTGTTGTTGTTATATTATTTGATTATGAATGAATAATTTTTAATGATAATGATAATGGATATATCAATGTCAACATTGAAATGGCTCAAAGGTCTATTAAATTTGAGCATCTTCTACTTTATAATCATTTAAAAGACAGAATCAAAGTGGGATTAGAGCTTAAAAAATTAAAGTTAATTTAATTATAGCGAATTGCTTAGTTTTTGGCGTAATTTATTATTTTGTTTATCATTATATTGAATTTCATATTAATTGATTAGAGAGTAAGATGAAAGATTTAGATTATATAGTATTTGAAGAAGATTTTGAAGATGATTATAACTCAAAATCTGATGATGATGGAGTACTAAATATGAGTTTTTTGAAGATGATGAAAATGATGTTAAGGCCACTATTATTCTTGTTGCTTGTGCTATATTCAAAGTCAAAGTGAGTAATTTAAAATATCAAGTTTAAATTTTATTTCAAACTTTTATTTTATATTAACATTCAAGATTAATATTTATGGTTTATGTTTTTATAATGATGAACGAAATAAACATGTTGGTTTGTCATATTTAGGAATGTTGTTTAATTTTATGAGTTTTTAATTCTTTTATTTCGAGGCTTACGCCTCGCCTCGTTAAGAAAATATGCATCAGTTTCCGATTTTCCCTTTTTAAACATTGAATAGAAGTATGCATACTTCATCACATAAAACTTAAAAAGGCTGAAACATAAATAAAGGATACATAAATCATTGTTCGTACCTCCAACCAATTTTTGTGAGTCCTTTTCAATCATTCTTCTAACATTTGCTCCTTTCTAGTGCTGCATATAGTGTTTTACCCATGCTAGATTGTTGGCCCCTTCTTGTTTTATATATATATATATATATATATATATATATATATTATTTTCCTCTCTTTTTTGTACTTTCTCAAATTTGCTGATACGCTTTATACACTTATCTTGAATAGACACAACCTCACACTATTTCTATCATAACTATTTTGCAATGTACTCGGTAGTTTTATCTCACATTAATTTCAATATTCTTATTTTCACCGCATTCGTTTTGTGATGCGGGAGCGCTCCCGCTTCGGACACAGGAAGCGAGCCGCACTCCTCTAGACCGCGGCAGGCGGGAGACAGTTTGTAAGAGTCATGTTTTCTTTTTTATGCTTTTTTTTCCTATTAGCTTTCATTCCTTTTTAGTCTATATATATGTGCTGCCCATTGTGACTATTTGATTGACAGAGTTTGTAAGAACCCTGGGGTCATGTGTTCGATCCCGCTTATGTGATGAATGTAATTCTTAGGCTTATGAAGTTGTTCGGGTGGCTCGTCTGATAGCATATGACCAATCTTTTAACATATATATGTATGTATGTATGTATGTATGTGTCTGTGTGTATATATATATATATATATATAGACACACACACATATATACATATATTTATCTGTCTCTATGTGTGTGTGTGTTGTATTAAGATTTGAAAGTCAGTTTTTGATTCAATTTTCTGTCAGGATAGCCATCGACATCCGGGCTTTCCCTTCTAGGGCTGTATCTTAAAGTGAACAGGTACTCTGGGTATTACCCATCATGAGATTATTTTTATCTATATTAGATTCATTTAGAGCGACTATGAAATCCCTAGTCGTCATTACTTATTATTTCTTTTTTATTAGTTTTTATTCCATCATTATGTATTTTCTTTTTGTTTTTTTCTGTTTTATTTTTTTCCTTTGTTGTGTCTATTGTAATTGAGTTTAAATATTCCTCCTATTCATGAAAATATTATGCTCTATTATCAAATCTGACATGGTATCAAAACCAAGAATTTAACCTTAGCCGCCGG